GTAAATAATATATATATATATATATATATATATATATATATGAAAAACTCTTCCCAACGCCTATAGGTGAAAATGAATCGTGATTTTACCGACCCTCATCACCATCCAAACTTTATCGCACGGTCACAGTTATTTGGTAGTGTTTCAATTTTCATTTTTTTCTACAAATTCAAATTACTTGAAATTTGGTACGTGTGTACATCTTAGTGAGGCATACCTAATAAAAATATGAAAAAATAATTCATAAAATATAAATTGACCAAAATACCCCCCAAAATTTATGGGGTATTTGGTCTATTTTATTTTATAATTATTTTTCTATATTTTTATTAGGTGCACCTAACTAAGATACAGCCACGATTCAAATTTCAAATCATTCTAATTAGTAAAAAAAAAAGAAAATTAAAATACTACTAGACAATTGTGACCGTACGAGAAGTTTGGATGGTGAGGAGAGCAAACAAACCCACTGTATCATTGCTATAGACGTTTTATAATATCTTCATTTATATATATATATATATATAATGTTCCACCCAAACCGATTTTAAATGTTGGCTAAAAAACCTTGTCAGCAGTTCGGTTTAAAAGAGAGAAATACCACTCAAAAGTCTTGGTTCAAACGATTGATTATCTTTTTCGGGTAGTTTAACCATAAGAATCAATAATATTTTCTTTTAACAAAAATAAGTACGGAACTCAGAATATAGTGTTCCAATCATGAACAATAGTGATTGATAATCCAATAAATACTTTTGAACACAACTCAACCAATTATGTAACACAATTAAAAGGCAATTAGGGAAAAGTTACGGGTATTACATTATAGATTGGATAGGTAATGCCAAGAACCTCAAAACTAGTGCCCAACTTACATTATGTTTAGGAGAAAACAAAACAAAAATACATCATTTTTTTTAAAAAAAAAATTAAATAAATAAAGTTCATAGAAACTTGAGCCTTCATTTTCTTTTTTTTTTTTTTTAAAAGTAAAATCAATCGAAAGACTTGTTGGTATTACCACCAAAGCTCCAGCCTATTTCTGTCTTGAAATTTCTTTTTGGGAAGAAGAAGCAAAAGAAACACTTACGTAGAAGGCAGTTATAACACCTGCTGTGTAACCAGGCTGCAGCTTAATGGCTGCCCCGAAATACCCTGATCGAAATGGTCTCGTTGACTTAAACCCACTTCCTGCGACAAACACCAAAAACCAGATGATTAGTGTATCCATGGGCACGTAGAGAAGGAAAATAATTTTCAGAGAGAGAGGGAGAGAGCGCAAAACCGGAGCTCCTGTCGAGCCAAATCGCTAACTGGTCATTAGACAGTGTTTGATGCTGAGGGCCCCATAGATTACTGAAAGCCTGGCCAAATTGCAGAGCTCGAAATCGAGAAGTTGGAGAGAAACCAGGATAAGGCGGCCTTTGTGCATTGCAAGAAGATGAGTAGAGCAGCATCAAAAGGAGGAGAGGGAAAGCCATTAAAGCTCAATGAAGCTCAATGAGAACCCTTGAAGCCTGCTTTAATGGGGTTGATATGAGATGAGAAGATGAGGAATCAGAAAACCTCTCTCACCCCTCAGGCTCTTCCTTTCTCTAAGAAACTAGGGTGGTTCACAAATAAATAGGATCGCTATTGATTGTCGACAAAACATCGGAGGAGAAAGGGTAGGGCATCAAGCATTTGAAGAGGGAGGATAGAGTTAAAAAGGAGAGGGGGCAGTAATAATAAGTGCAGGTGGTTTTTTCTAGAAGTAGCATGGGTCATGAGTAAGGGTGCGTGTGGGGGCCTTTAATGGGGTGATGGGCGGTCCACCAAAATCACTGTTCGTTTCATCCTTTTAGTACTTTCTTGGCTCTCTCTCTCTCCTCCTGTTTAAAGACTAAAAGAACCCAAAAAGTTTTCTCTGTCACGAACAGTGTTCGAAAAATTGTGAACTAGCATTGGATACCGGCCAACCACTAGGTTCGCGTAACCCGTAAACCAGCCCATTCAACTGCCGTAACAAGCAGGTCCCGATTAGTTTAAAATCATTAAAAAATACAAAAAATATGTAAAATATATTTAAAATATGATTAAACAATATTTATACAAATGAAGTTGAATAGTAGTGAAAAAATGGTTTATACATAGGGGTATTTTCGAAATTTTCAAAAAATGTAAAAATAAGTAGTCATGCAAAACACTTTTCAATTTATACCTAAATGATAAAATACATTAAATAGATTCTGTTTGGACTTTCATATTTTTTTTATTTTTTATTTTTTAAATATCCAGCCAGACACCCAAAACTAATCAAAATCGAGTTGGCCGGAAACCGGTTCTGAGTTGGACCGCCCAAGTTTGGGAACACTACTCTTGAATGTGGTTGTGTTGTACGTTATAGGTCGCCAATGATCATAGTTGCATCCAACCGGCTACTAAATTTTAGAGTGTTTGTTTTGGGTAATTTAATGGTGAGGACAAGCTCCAAAAGGTATTTTTCTAAATAGAGTAGGCGTTAGTTTTGGTATTAGTAGGTGGTGTCAATGGGAATAGAGTGTTTGTTTTGGGTAATTTAATGGTAAAGACAGGCCCCAACAGGTATTTTTTTAAATAGAGTAGGAGTTAGTTTTTTACGGTATTAGTTGGTGGTGTCAATGGGAATAAAAACTACGCATGTAGGTATAGTGGTGACTACGGTGTTTGTTCGGGTGCTACCGCCACGACCGCAGCCCTTAATTCAAACCTCAACAACTAAACGCTCTTCTTGTTGTCGGTTTAGTCTTCTAACAAGTCTTGTGATGAGAATGTGAAGAGGGGGGTGTACAGGTCTTCCTTGCCGACACTCTTTATATTCTTCTTTTCAAATAGAAAACTTGATGCTTCTTTTCCTCTCAATTTATTTCAATCCTCTCTTGCTGACTCTTTGGAAAGAGATATATAGAATTGACTCAAATACGTAAAATATGGAGTAGAAAATGACTGAAATGACACCATCCTTTCTGTATAGGTACGATCGTTGCCATTAGCAATTGAATTGAATTGAAGAGTGCTTGATTGAAAAAGAGGAAGTGAAAATAAAAAGGGAAAATTTATCAGACTACACATAGCTTTTCAGCAATTTAACAGCTTACTGTTATCGACTGTTGTAGTTCGTTATCATGTGTATTTTGAACTTAAATCAAAAGATATAAAATATTAAATAGTTGATCCCTTATGTATATTTTAAGGAAAAAGTTTATGTAAAGTTGCAACTTTAAATGGTAGAAAAAAAAATACGTATCAAAAATTCATCAAAAAATGTTGTTTTGATGACAAAAAGCCCACTAATTGATCGTTGGGAAATTTACGTACAGACTGGATTAAATGTCAGTTATAACGAAATGGCCCAAAATTGGCCCGTTAGTACCTAGAAGGATGAAATCCCAATTTGTTTTTCATTTTTTGATAAGTTTGCCTCCTGTTTGATGTTTTAAATTTTGATAAGTTTGCCTCTGTTAACTCCCCAGAATTCTTGTTAAGTGCTTTTTCTTTTCTTTTTTAACTGTTTTCAACATCAAACCTATTTACTTGTACCCCCAACCTCGTTTTCTCTCCTTTCTCACTTGTTTTCTCGTATTCTCTCTCTCCCTCTCTCTCTCTCTCTCTCTCTCTCAGACGCCTACCCGTCGCCTGCTTCTACGTACGGTTCCTTACCTTTCCCGT